GTTTTGCACTGATTGATATCACTCTTACCTGTTAACCGAGAGTATCAGGATGTTAGCTACTTCAGAGCGTTTCTGTCATCATCGGCAACCTCAAAAAATACATTAAATTGCTTACAAATGAACCTGTTCTTATTGTACTGTAAATATACCAATAAAGTTTATAACCTACCTATAGTAATCAGTAAATTTTAGATTTCTGTCATCACTGCAACAATCGCTCATGTAAAACGGTGTGATGCAAGTACATAGTGTATATCAAGGGAGATAAGAATGATCAAGAGTTTTACTGGATTAAGTCTGGATTACCTGCCCTTGAGCGTAGTTTGTACATGGTGTGGTAGCACTCCACACTAAATTTCAAGTTTCTGCCGTCAATGTCCTACAAGCAATATGTCTAATAAATCTGATCCCAAACTACACAACCTGGAAAAAGAAAACACATTTTGTTAAGAACATATATGTCATAACATTGCAAATCTGTAATGAAATCATCCCATGTGCAACAGTCAGGCAGTTAAAAAAAATTCCAATTTCATTCCGTAAAAAGCCCAAAAATCTATAGTGGTCCGAGACCCAAAACAAACATTATTTCGTCCCTCCGGCAAAAAAATACCTGCAAATATACGGACTACCGAAAACTCTGTCACTGCTTTAGCAACTCCCTATGCATGCAAAACTATCACAAAGAAACAGGTGCTTGGCCTTGTAGATTTTTTGCTATTGCTGAAAGTTTGTACCCCCCTGTAAAATCACTTGTTTTCACCGAGCATGCTGTTTAAAAGCAATGTTTACAAACAATGGCGGCCTTGACATCTATAATAAACAGCATGTTATTTATAACCATGTTTTCGAATTTGCCAATGATCATATTACATGTTACAAAAACAAATTTCATGCTGAAAATGCATTTTAAAGACAACCAGCCATTTATATTCACAATAGTCACTATATCCATGAAATCCTCCCTGGCCATTCGAAGCTGTGGCTTCATTTAGTGTGGTGTGCTGCCTAAATATCGCAAGAATAACTTTTGTAATTTTACAAACAAATTGTGCAATAATGAAAATGTCATTGAAGATATTCTAATGTGAGCCAAAATTGCAGTTTTGTTGTAATTTCCTGTCTTTTTTATGATAAAATTTTCGAATGAAATTTTAGCAGGTTTGTATTGCCATTATTTCAGAATGTTTAGTTACGACAAATAAATTGAAAATTGGTCGGATAGCTTCCAATTTTTTACAGTTTACGTCCGAGTAAGTTGCGTAAATGTATCAATATTTTATAACCCTGTAATTACGTAAATATAATAATCAATCTACCTGCATTTCATATAGCAGACGAACAATCTGCGTGTGGAAGGTCCTCTTGTTTAACAAAAGCATTTTTAACAAGAATTGTTCTCTAATATTTGACATCTCTCAAATGACACTCCCTGTATTACAAATTGTTACATAAGATTGCGTGCATGATTTCCGATGGCAGAAACATGATAATGGCGTGAAATAATTGGATTTGTTTCGATCTCAAAAAGGAACATAAATCATTTCTCTAGAACTGAGATCGTTTATTGGAACTGTGCCGATCTAATTATTGGATCAGAACATCCCGATATGACAAGGTACGTAGATGAATAAACGTATAATGTAGACAACCGAGATATATTACATATCTATCACTGAAAGCTAGCATGGTATAACGCTTGTCGGAGAGAAGAAATGTCCGTGTTTACAATTTCTTCTAAAAGAACAAAGAGAAAACAACTGAAACTGCGTTTGATTATCTCGTATAATTATCAACCGTATTATGACGGAAATAACCGAAGCGTTGCGATTGCTGAAAGTTTGATTTGCTAGATCAATCGCATCTTCCCGGCCCTTTCCGTCAAACTTCGGATAACAACTTCAACATTTTCTACATTCGGAACTGCCTCGGCTATTATCTATAATATTAACCTCGGAAACAATACGGATTGAAAGTAGTTCTACCTCGTGGTTTACAAATGTAAACAGAAACAGAGATAATGAAAAACGAATGTAAATATTTGACATCTAATGTCTGTTCCGGTACTGTAATGCTTGAAAATATTTGTTACGACAATTTGTAATTTAAATATGCCCACTGATGTTCAATTTTAAAAAAATCCAACTAAATGTCAAAAAGTTGGTTTTTTTGTACTTTCGGTTTCTGCAGCCATATTAGTAAATATAGAAATAATGTTTTGTTTGCTTTTGTACCTATGAATTCACTTATTTTAGGTGGACTTTAACTACATATATTGGAAATGAACTTGTCAACAACTCCCAGCATTAAATTACTATTTGTTTACATGTTTAGTTTCTTAGCGTACGTTAGACCGGAATACCGCATCCGTTCTGTGTATTCATACTATTGTGTTCGAGGTCCTTATCCGAAGACTGACGGAAAGGGCCGAGTAGTTGCGATTGCTCTACTTATATACGTATAGACTCCCCTCATCTTACAAGGATCAACTTGGGTCCCTTAAATGGGAAAACATGCAAAAGTACACACAGAATTACTTTAAAATAAAGGTAAGCCCTCGGAAGCATTATATAATCACAACAAAATTGCATGACAATAGCGGACTCCGTTTGATTGAGTCTTTGTATGCGACTCTTAGTTCGCTTTTCAATTTTTGGTGATATGCATTAAAAATGATTTTTGGGGAAAACATTGGCAGCGAATGATCTGAAATAATACAAACCACATTCATCGGACATTTTACTGACATTGAAAAATATTTTTAGCGTCATGTCAATGAAACTCAATAAGGCCCCTTGATACATATTTTGATACATCTTTATTGGCGTCCGCGCCGAAGCGCGGCGCCCGCCGAAGCGCGGCGCCTATTGGAATGAAATGAGATTTTGTGAAAGGGCGACAGCAACTTCTCGAGCCTTTTATAGTTGCCAATAATAAAAGCCGATCATTCCGATCGGTATGAGGGTGCTTGATTGTTAATTAGTCGCGATATGTACAATGAATGGCGAACTGGAGAATTTCGCAATGCAAACATTTTCAAATGAAATAACCTTTTTCGTCAATAAATCGCGCTCTTCGGGGTATTTTTGCTTATCATTTTGTAGTACACAGTGGGTTATTATGGTATGTTATTCCGAAAGCTGTTAATAGAATGATGAGTTGATGACCTTAATATTCCGAAAATCTATTTATAGAGGGATGTACTCCTAGGTAATTCCCGGTCTCTCCCGGGATTTACTAATGACGGCGAATAGTACCACACGTTTATTGTCCGGTCTTCTCCCGGTTTTGGAGTAGATATCGTAACAGAACAGAACAAATATTTTACAGATAAATAAGCTTTTTTTCAAAATGAATGTTTGTCACTTAGTTTGGTTACAATAATTAATAAACACAGATCAACTCTCGAATTGATTGATTATTATTATACATAAACATACAATTCGAAAAAAAAACCAACAACAACAAATCGCATGTTATATTTTATCTATATGAGATAAAAACAATAAATATGTACAATAATTGAGAAAAAATGTACATTTTTATGGCATTAATATGACACTATCAACTTTAAAACATTTTATATAATTTGTTATTCGTGTTTAGTAAAGATTCCGAGGAATTATTCAAAGTTACAAATCAGATTTTATGAATTATTCAATTGATTGATAATTTAAAAAATGATAAAGAAAAATACAAATGTACATGTATATGGTTTAAGAATAAACAATATTATAAATTGAAAGATTAACCATGATTTACTGACTTTTTCAAGTTAAGTTTTGACTTATAATCGTCGATCATTATGACAATTGAATTCTTAAAATAGTAGTAAACGTAAAAACTCAGTATTAAAATAGCGCATAAAACACACACAAAAAAAGAAAAGAAAACAATATTCATAAAATCTGTATTATTTTATTAAAATATAAATTACATTTATTGTATAATAAACAATTATGCTCAACATGATCAACATGGTAATATAACAAGTGTCATATTGTTACTTAGTGTGAACAGATACCTTAAGAGGGGGTCCTCGTTAATAGCAATAACATAATAAGGGACAATTATACAAGTATGGTGTTGATCATGCGTTACACGTATGGATTATAAATGATTGTATACATGTATATCCGTTGCTATTAATAACCACATCTAAAGAAATAACAAGTAATATTCTAATTTCTAGCATGCCGATCAAAGTTATAAATAATGAACAATGTCTTTCGTCCGTTCATTCAAAAGTGATATACAATTCTGGTAAAACCCAATGAACCATTGAAAAGTTTATAAGAATATCTTGTCATCATATATCTACTAGTTCATCTGCACCTGCTGTTTGGACGCCCTTTGATGCTTTGCATCAATGCTTTTCTTGTAGCTATTTTGTATGAAAATAAATTCAGTTGAGGCGAATTCGGTGCGACAATGCGAAAATGGAATGATAGTGGCGGGAAATAAAGAGTAGAGTAGGGATGAACACTAGAGGAGAGAAATGTTGAGGATTGGAATGGAACGGTTTGTTTTGGAAGGGAACGGTTTGTTTTGTAATGGAACGGTTCATTTAGGGTAATGAATCGGATGGGTTGAAGACATGGAACGGTTGAGTGGCGGATTGATATTGTTGGGGTAGAATGGTTGAGATGGGGACATTGACTGTTAGGAATGGACATGGAACGTTTGATTTGGTGAATGGAATGATTGCTAAGAAAACGATTAAGTTTTGAACATTGGACAGTTGAGTGTGGAATGAAACGGCTAAGTGCGGGATTGGATGGTTGAGGGCTGAGTATGAGAAATGAATGGTTAAATTGGAAATGAAAGGTTTGAGACGGAGAAAGGAACTATAGAGACGGGGTGGAAACGGTTGAAGTGGGAACGGTACGAATCATGGTGGGATGAAATGGGTAGGAGAGGAAAGAAAAAGATTGTTAGCTGAAGTATTGGAGCGGATGACACGGTAAATGTTGCCTTGTATGCGTAAATAGCGAGAAAAGGCGGGTTACTTTACAAATCTGCAAACTCGAATATGACACTGGTATAGGAAACGTTAAACATGTACTTCTGACCAGATTCATGTCAGATATTCCTAGTACCTCAGATGACTATTCGATCAGAAAATTGTCTGTAATAACTCTGTAATGTGTGCCTAAATACATTCGTAACAAAGAAATCGTGCTTGGGCATGTTTAGGATATGGATATATTTATAACAATTACGAGCAGGGAAAACGTATATAAAGCGGAATTCGTTCAGTGAGTTAATAACAGAGTTATTACGCCTGATTGCAGAGACCAGGACTGGCTATTATCATTAATGACACCCATTTTATGAAAAGGTCAAAATTATAAAAGTGCATATTCAATACATATGGGAAAAAATAGTTTGTATAGTAAAAGCTGGGGAACATAGTGATTTCGTAATACATATATTTACCAATACATATAACGCCTCGCTCTAAGGTTGAACATTTATTTTTTTCTCGGGTTTAAGTTAGAGTGGTAATTTTGAAATAGAAATATGTATGAATCATCTTTTCACTAGACACAATAAAACAAGTTAAGTGGACATTTGAGAATAATTGAACGAAGATAAATTTGTAACAGTGATGACTGAGAAGGAATCGGGTGTAGGAAATGGAAATTTATTGGAGATGAAAAGATCGAACGTGTGTGTTGTAGAGCCGGATCATTTGTGTTCGCATTTGGAAGTCCGACGCCGACGGAGTGTAACGCTGCGTCAAGGGGGCCCGGATGACTATGAGGACAACATGACCTGGCGGGAACTGGGGTATGAGTTCACACAGTACACGACTTTGCATGGACTGCGGTACATAGCCGAGCGAAATACGTTCATTGCACGGAGGTAAGAAATAAAACTTATCTTTTTCTATATTTATTTTTCTATATTTATTTGTATATATTTATTTTCATAAATTATTTTTGCACTGTTAGAGACCACACAAATTCCCCTTACCTTCGACAAATCGTTATATTTTTCTTATAAAAATAATTTGGATTTTAAATACAATACGTGAGCTGAAATGTATTTTTTTAACTACATACCAACAGGTAACAGAAATAACCCCTTGTTCGTGATCAAAAATAAAAAAAAACTTATAGGCCCATTATGCCTCAGAAATGCTTTTATTTTTATTTCTCAAAAGTTTTTGATGTTGGTGCTCTTTTATAGTATCCAAAAGGTTACTCATAGCCAAATTAACTGAACCATTTTTTTCATCTGTTGCTTTTTGGCATAAAGCACAGTTATAGTGTCTCTGAATTTGTATTTTGTGCGGAAGTCAAAATAAATGTTACTACTTTTTACATTTTTCTATTTTTGTGACAAATTATTTCACATTTATCATTACTTTCTTCAAGTAACAAGCATCTAACATTCTCAAAAACCATTATTTAAACATTATAAATTTCATGTTTACCCTTCCTGAAGAAGTAAAAAAAAACACGTTTCTGATGCATAATGTGCCTTTAAGCAAACAAATAAAATCATACGTATAGGTTATGCTGGCTTAAAAGAAGCACTTTAAGCCAATTTTTGGATTGAATCCAACGCAATAAAAATCGGGTGCTCCCTATAAAAATGATACCATCAGACATGTAACACTGATAACCCGATTCTGTGAAAAGAAACAGTAACATTTCCTTATCATCGCACTGTTACATTTTTCTGTGGCTCAATTATATTTCCAAATGGAATTAATCATACAGAATTAGGCAATGCCTTATTACTAAAGTGTTTGTCCGCCTAAAATAATTCCTGCATTTCTGCATAATTCAAATTGATTCCACCTTTCTTTTCATACACTAAAAATAAAACAAGATATAAGGTAATTCGAGTTAATTTCATTTTATTAAGTCTTCTAACTATATTGATCTCAGCTTTTTTTTAAGACTATAAATAGGCCTTTCTTCATAATTTTATATATGAACCTGGGTTGGCAAGTTCGATACGAACCTCTGGTTGGCGAGTTCGATACGGTACTCGGGTTGGCGAGTTCGAATGATTAATTTTGTTTTCACAACCGGGCTTGAATAAATATGAATTAAACCAAAGCGTCATGCATCAAACTGATAAAGCTTGCTAAATGTTCACTTTTTTACAAATATGTTTTCGTATGTTGTTTATGTTGTGGTGAGACTGGTATCATAGCTTCTAGGGTTTATTTGAATGCTTTTTACACCTGTTGAAAATGGTTGTACGTCAAGAATTTCTGAAAAATCTTGATTGTTTCTTAACTTCAATATTTACATGAGGAAGCGTGCTTTTAATGTATGAACAAATTTTATGTTGTTATAAATTTTAAGTAATTATACGCAAAATACATCATTTATACTTCATATTATCATGTATTTCATCAGATGCAAATATTGCGTAGAAATATGCAAGCCAGCAACAGGTAAGAATACATGAAGTGAATCTACTTCATTATGATCAGGCGATAAAATGAAGAGCTAATGATCGCAGACTTAATCGTAAGATTTAAGTTTGATATTGAATAATACATTACAAAGCTATGGTGTATAGGTTCTATCCAAAATGTTTCTTTTCTTATCCAGTAATTTCGATACAACTCACTGTTTTGGTTAGGTTTTAAGTAGCACAACATAGGCAATATGTCGATTTTCCAGGAAGGCCTGAGGTGTCATTCCGTGCGTAAACCCGACGACGATAGCTTCATCACATGAAAAGAAACATAAAGTAACTGTCGGGATTCGAACCTACACCAGTGGGAGGCAAGTGATCTGAAGCCATCGACCTTAATCACTCGACCCTCGGACACCCTACTATTATTATTTTTTGATAATGAGATTAATGCATTTGTTTTTTGTAAACAGCTTCGATATAATAGAATCTTTATGATGTGAATTACTCAATAAGAAATTAATGGTGAACATTTTATAACAATCTTTTAAACTACGATAATTTTCGCAACACGCATATTAATCTAAAATTTAATCAGAACTCATCGATCGACGAAATTAAGGCCAGACGGAAAGACAGAATTGCAAGATCTTATGTGCAACATCTTATCCCCACTAACTCAAGTATTTGTTAGTTCTAACATTAATGTTTCTAAATTGAGATATTTTTTCAGATCAAACAGTTATTTACAATAAGCAGCCACTATATTCTATGATGCCTGATTTACACCATAAAAATGAGAGAAAAAATGCGAAAACACACATACTAGTATACGACAAAGACCAACTTTCCCGTATCTTCCCGAGAATGTGAAACTTTTAAGAACGATAATATAATGCTTTTTCAATGACCACACTAGTCGGATCAAATACGTAATTAAATCAAATTTAGTCGAATACTCTATTACACGAATTTATGTTTGCTAAATTATCATTAAAAGCAATTAAATCCGGACTATATTAATTACGACGATTCATGTATCACGTGCTAAAGATGTAATTTGGTTTCATATCAGTTACTGCGCCACCTAGGGACGTTTATGATATTTCGGTCTCGGAATCAAATCCAAATTAAATGATTAGTTTAAACAAAGGCACGCCATCATGTCACAGACGGTCATGTTATTATGTAATGAAATTGAGCTTTCATTGATGCAAAATTGTACTTAATAAACATTACATTTCTCCCAAATGACTTAATCTAAACCAAATTTGTCTGCTTGTATCACTTTCAAGAATATAAAGATGAACTTTTAAAGGCCCATTTTGCCTCAAACATGCTATCATTTTTATTTCTCAATACCTTTCAACAGCTTCTTGCCAAATAGATGACCTGTGTTTAACTTCTTTTGCGCTGTTGACTTAGTGAATGAGTATTTTGTATATTAAATATCTAATATGCTGTAAATCCATTATTTAGCACATGTTTGACATTTACAAAGAATTAAAAATTTGTATGTATGTATGAGGCATAATGTACCTTTAAAGTTAGTCATCCAACTGTAAAGAGACTAGTCAGACTGCACATGGATCTATACTGGTTGTGTCAAAAGCTAAACACTTAAAAAGGTTTCCTGTAGATTTCAGTTTGATTAATGGTCATGATACACGGGCATCTGTTGAAATATTCCTTTTTCCGATACAACAAATACTAATATATATAAACCCTTATAGCAATAGAAACATTCACATCATTTGAAATTAGTTTCCAATCTTAGTGGTTCTTCCCATTTATGGCATGCATAATCTGTTATAATTGAACAACTATAAATAAAACCGCGTATAAGGCAATCACCGAGCACATATTTTTTCGAGAACCGATACAAATTTAATCTTCCAAATTAATTTCATAAACCTTTTATTTTAGTTTACATTTTAGTATATATTCAGATTTGTTAAAAATGTTATTAAAATGTTATTAAAATTGTATTAATATACGAAAAACCTGGGGCTCGAACTCACGGTCCTATGCTTAAGTATCAAAACAATTACCTGATACGAGCAAACGTTCAAGGTTCAAATTTTATTTTCAAATCGATAATCATTGGCTGATAAATATCCTGAAATACAAAACACATAAATACAAGATATATATACAAACATCTCAATATATCAGTATTCTTTTTAAATAAACAAATATAAGAGCAATGTGGAAATAATCATATTATAACATACATGTCTTGTTCCCAACTGTTCAAAAGCTTTCTTCAAGTATTTACTTTTCTGTAATAATCTACTGCATATTGTAATAAGCATCAATATGAATAAAACATTTTCTTAATTCTGAATAAAATGGTCAAAAAAGGAGAAAGTGATATTCTGATTCTGCTTTGTTTTGCGCACAAAGTTTACATATTCTCTAATTTATGTTTAAACCCATATTTCTCCCTGTTTTTCAGTTTCTAAAAAGCTATCATAGATGTCTGAAAACCGGATGTAGATTATGCTTACTATTCATATATAATTACATGTATTTTTGATATCAATTATACCCTTTTTTGTGTCAACACGTATTATGACAATATTTGATCCACTATTAAGTGTCCATTTATATATATAATTGTTACAATTTTCTATAAATAATAGTGTTTATGTTTCCGGAATTTTATAATTAGGACAATTTTGTTTAATTTGGAATAGGTCGAGATTAGTCACAGTAAATTAGCAAAACGTTTATTGTGTTAACATTCCAAACAGAATAATAATCATGTAATAACGGCTTAACTTATAGTTTAAACAGTGTTGAAAAGCCATGCTATAGCAATACAGATACACCCGCGCTTTAAGTTTGCTTTGTGTATGATAACCTGCTTTGTGAGGACTTCTATCAAAAAGTGAGGACGTGTGTCAAAAAGTGAGGACTTGTGTCAAAAAGTGAGGACGTGTGTCAAAAAGAGAGGACTTGTGTCAAAATGTGAGGACTTGTGTCAAAAAGTGGGGACTTGTGTCAAAAAGAGAGGACTTGTGTCAAAATGTGAGGACTTGTGTCAAAAAGTGAGGACGTGTGTCAAAAAGAGAGGGCTTGTGTCAAAATGTGAGGACTTGTGTCAAAAAGTGGGGACTTGTGTCAAAAAGTTAGAACTTGTTGACCAAACCACAAATTCACAAAAGTTATTTATGCAAAATGCATACGTGTATGATCTATAAAAGTAAACTTTCTTATAAACGTAAATGGATGGTACTTGTTGTGACCACGCTTTATATCATAAAAAGACTTGCCCATACTCCATACTTCAATCTGGACAAGAATATTCATCATTTGAGGAAAATATTCATAAAATGGTTCTTACTCAATAACTAACAAGTGCAGACCATAATCAGTAGACACGGATGTGCCCGCTTACATTGGTCTGCACTGGTTAACTGAGTTAATAGCAGGCTTAGGTCTCCTCATTTAATGGATCATAAGCTATATAAAATACATATATGATATTTCCTCACTTTCAAATTTACGTTTAGTCTTATGATTTTAGTACTTTCTTTTTTTCTATTTACAGAATATTCTGGTTACTTTTGACGGTCACGTGCTCAAGTCTCATGGTAGTACAGGTCGTGGACCGTGTCCAGTATCTGTTACAGTCACCAATTGCCGTCAATATTAAAGTAAATTATAATCAGAGTCTACAGTTTCCCGCCATTACCATCTGTAACCAAAACGCCTTCAGGTAATTTCTGATTCCATATAATTATGTAATCTCGTTCAATCTCGTAACATCCGAGAAAAATTCAAATAGGTAGAAGGCTGGGATATGATGTTTTAGAATTGAGCGATACTGTTATTTTAAATTTCTATTAGCTCTTCGATTCCAAAATTGGTGTTGTTATTGTTGAGTTGTTTTTTTGTTTTTTTTAAACTTGACTGATACCATCGATTATTATTCGATAAACAACATGTACGCTTCTCGTTTTTGCGTCTGCAACAAAGGTATAAATAAACGCTAAATATTCCTTGAATTGTTTACGACCTAACTTGGAGGCTTTTGAGCGATATTTATTACATTTTATGTTACAATAAGTTGTTAGCCTGTTACCATAGAGATTAAAACTTACAATCAGAATGAATAAAATGAAATAGTATTCTCATAGGAAGAATGGCTTATTTAGCTTATTAATGGATGTACTGATGCATCGATCTCAGTAAATACTCTTATAGCGTTCTTAATGACGTAATTCTAGTAAACCATTTCTGAGTCTGTTATAAAAGCAAAAATGAAGTGTAACTATCATCTTCGAAGACTGGTTAATAGTATTTGTCTAGTATTTTTGACATCTACATACGCATAATGTTAAAATTACAATTCAAGGCTCATGCAAGGTCTTGCAGAATGAAAAGTGTATGATAGAATTTATCTAAATTTTGCATTATCTTTAAAACGATGAAAGAAACATTCCAATCGAAAAGAAATCATAGAGAGTCACCGACTTTGTTTTCGAGTATAAGTCTTGAAAATGGCTCGGCTAAAAAGACAAACAAACAAACAAACAAACAAAATCATCATGCATAGGTAGTAGTCTGGAAAGACGGGTATTGGAAAGGTAGAAGTGTGTCCGAATGTTTAATTAGATATTTTTCCATACCATTTGTTATGCCATCATTTTTCTCATATATCTGGCGTTAATGGTTTTAACGATCATTAATATGGACATTTTTAATGTTAAATTGGAAATGCAACATTGCACAAATGTAAACGATATTTTTCTACAAGTCCACAGAAACGTTATAGAAATAGTCTTTCTAAGTTTTTGTTATTCTTATTTAGGACCAATTTAACCATCTAACGTATAAACATCATTTCGTTTGATTTTGTTTTTTTTTCTGGACAGGGCAACCGAAGCCAGTGACCTTGACCTTTACAGACTGATAGAGGACCTGTATCGTACCGGAAGAGCTACGTCTCGGAACATATCCTGGCTAGACAACCTACATAAAGATATTCGAGTGGACCAGCTGTATACAAAACTTGGTCATCGAAAGGAGGACTTTATAGTCAGGTAACATCAATCGCATCAAATCTCATTTTTGATCTTCAGCTAAAGATATTTGTCTATAACGAATATAAATTTGAACTGTGATTTAGTATTTGAATACAAATATATTAACTAAATAGTGAATAGTTCAGACCATGATAATAACCAGTACATGCTAGCTTATCGTGGTATGCCATTGCCGCGTTGGTATGTCCTACCGTGCATTCAGCATGCTTAATGATAACGATCAAATAGCGACGACCATGCCAATTAAAAAAAGAAGAAACAATTCCATTGTTTCGAAGCATACATTTTTCTTTCAGCTGCTCGTGGGCTGGGGAACGTTGTTCTGCTGATAATTTCACAACAACGTTGACGGATCACGGCATGTGTTACACGTTTAACGGCCATAACGAACGTATGCCTCAGCTGAATGTGTCATTCTCAGGTAAATCACGTGCATTTCTTATAACCGTAGAGATGTTTAGAAGTAATGTTTCGCGAACGTTTTGTGAAAAATCCTATTACTGGATACTATATAGTATCACGACTGACGTCGAAACACAAAAAAACTATATTTTAAAAAAAAATCAAAGAATACGTAATTATTAAAGTATTCTCCTGCAGTAAATCCATTTGGTAATAAAATTGATGACATTTTTAATCGGTTTGTATGGATTATTTATAGGCATTGGCCGATCTATTTAGTCATATATTGTAAGTTTGTAGCATAATTTGTACGGTGTTCCGTTGGGACCAACATTTCTCCGCATCGACGACCTCTGATAACCAAAAACGATACATAGAAGCGATGGCCCCAAAGGAATACCGTGAATCATTGTAAAATACTCGTACCATGAATCGATGTCTAAAAATGAAACTTTACATTAATTGCTTAGTACTGGTTGGAGTGTTTCAATCCAACACAAATCGAACTAAAATAAATTTGAATACACTACAAACGAATTAATATTTCCTTCTTAATAACGGGCAAACATCAATTTATAACCTTAAAAATAATGGATTTAGAACATGTTGCGTGTATATCACCTGAGGAAAGTAGCGCTGAATGTGAAGTTATTTGTAATAAAAGCAGCAAAATTAAAGACCGTAGTTCTTTGACTTTCATGCAAAATACTAAATCGCTATAACACTTTATGTATTGCCATAAGCAACAGACGAAAAGATACTAGTAGTTCAGCTAATTGCCCAATGGCAACCTTAATAGACACTTTAACAGATCAACAAAAATAAAAAGCTTTAGAGAAATAAAAAAACAACATTTGTATGGCATATATTGAGCCTTCAACGACTATTTTTCTTACTAAACTAACCTTTTATTTAAATGTACAGGCATAGTGCAGTTCAGGTATAATTTAAATTTTTAATCATAGGAGCTGAGCATGGTCTTCGGCTTACGTTGAACGCTGAACGATATGACGCCATGCCTGGTCCCCATGATGCAAACGGGATCAAGCTTTTGGCTACGTCAGTGTCTGAATTTCCACGGGTGGAGGAAATAGGAATAGCCATCCCGACAGGAGCGCATGCTTTCGTCGGACTTGGAGTTTTAGTGGTAATGTGTTAATGATTGATTGTTACCGTTTGATTGATTATTTGATTGATTGATTGAATTTGATTTTTTACAGGGAATTTAAGTCTGTGATTTATATAATTACACTGGAAGATATAAAAACATTTACAAATGAATGTAAATACGTCACTTGCATTTAAAACAAACTTGTAACATTATCGAACTAACCATTTCTAATGGTTTGTCACAGAAAAAAATGTTCTTAAATTAAGCCCAACTACTGACTTAAAATTCCACAGTTTTAAAAGCATCCAAATAATCGACTCCAAGAAATGTGAGAAAAAGAAAACTTATTAAGATAATATTAATATTTTTCTCATTACTATATTGTTAAAGATTTAAACAATAATAGTATGTAAGCTTTAATGAGTGGGACTAAAAGAACTGTTTGAGCAGTGTTCCGGTATATACCGGACACGGTGTTTGAATAATCAAATGCTAACCCCCTCCGTTTTTCACCCTAAGACGTCTAATTCATACGGTAATGAATATACGGTAATGAATGAAAAGTGTAAAAATCTTCCCCCCCCCCCCCCCCAAAAAAAAGAACATAAATAATTATTTTTGCTACTTTGTGATCATGATTTTTGCAAGCTTCTAGAAGTAGTGCTCCAGCACTGTAGTGAGTTAAATCCAACTTTAATATGTTTGTTTCAGATTAAAAACTTGCCTAAACCTCACGGAGATTGTGGAGACAAAACGCTGATTTCAACGAAAAGATACTCTCCGGAAATGTGCATCCTTGAGTGTGTTACGGCCTACGTTAGTAAAGAATGCAAGTGTCGAAACTTTTATATGCCGAATTTATCTGGTAGGTAAACTATATATAAGCTCAGAATGATAATAAGCTTTATTGAAACAACAAAGAGGAATAAAGAAAAGTGGTGATAGGATACTAGAACCATAATTGCAATTTTATTTCGTTCTTTGAATTTTCCTTTGCGCTTCATACTGTAAAATGTGCAATTATGATTTAAAAAATATAAAAACATTCCAAGAATGATGTAAAATGTGTAAAATGATTTAAGATGTACTAGAATGTTGTAAAATGATGTAAAAAGTAGATTCCTTGAGCTGCAACGGTTTCTTTTCATTTTTTGATGCCTCTTTACAGCAGATTTGCACATTTCAAATCATTCTTGTACATTATACAGCATTCTGATACATTTTACATCATTCGTGGAATGTTTTTTTATAATTTTTACATCAGTATTGAACATTTTACATCATTCTTGCGCATTTTACTTTATTCTTGAAATTTTTGTGTAAATTTACATCATTCTTGCACATTTTACACCATTCTTGCACATTTAACTTTATTCTTGAAACTTTTGTATAATTTTACGTCATTCTTGTTCATTTTACTTTATCATTGAAACTTTTGTATAATTTTAAATCATTCTTGCACATTTTACATCATTCTTGTATATTTTTAGTAGGAGAATATTCTTTTATAGTCTTTTCGGTGCAATATTGAGATTTGATATAATGTAAAAACCCTATGGAAAAAGAATGATTGTTTAATAAAAAAACGTCGCTACATTTATGTCAACTTAACAGCGTCCCAACAAATACCTTGTACACGTCTTTGTTCTTATTTTATCCCTTGATAATAAATAATATAAAAAAACATAAATTTTGTTGCATTGAGTCTTAAATTGAATCCTTGCTTTCACAATTTAAAAACCTTTGTTAAAACAAGAATACTTTACTAAGCAAATATTGTAATTATATTCCCCCGAGTAAATATTATATTTAGCGCTATTCGGATAGTGACATATTTATTTAATGACACACTTTATATGTCATATGTGTTTAATTGATATTTTGTATTACCGTTTTTGCACAAAAGAGGTTTTATTGTTGAAACATATGAAAAGATTGGAAATAGGAATTGCGACATTTATTTAATTTAATAGCCCATCTCTATCTATTAATGACAAATCTGAAATAAAAATTGTTTGCATCATTTTTTATGTGTTCTAGGTAACCTGCCCGTTTGTACTTTGGAACAATATTTCGTCTGCTATCTACGCGCATACGGTAAGTCATGTCATATTGTTTTGATCGTTCTTTTTTCTTTAATTTTGACAGGTAAGTTTTATAAGAGCTGTAAAAATCTATATAACCCGAGATACAAGGTCATATAACAAATTCAAAGTCTTTATGGCGAATGTTTAAGATTCTTAAATCTAAAGCAGGCGTGTATATTATTATTTATACAGATTTTTGACAGGTTATATGGCCCTGTATATAAGGTTGTTTGGAAATATAGCTCGAGCCGCTAGGCTGTCAGGAAGATTTATAACGAATTAATAATACTGAAAACTTTTCATATATCGACAGCAGCCGTGTATATTATTAGTTAATTATACAGAATTTGACAGGTTATATGGCCCTATATTAACGGTTGTTTGGAAATATAACCAAAGTCGTCAGGCGAGTATTATACTGAAAACAACCGTTTATATATGGTCATATAACCAGTCAAGAAGATTTATAACGAATTTATGATACAGCAAACTTTTTATTTTAGAGAAAAAAAAAAGAGATTTCTTCACATATTGACAGCAGTCGTGTATATAAAACTACATAAACGTTATTTTTACCCAATGAAAAGCGACGTTACAAACGTGAAGTATTATTATAAAAAAAAACACTAGCGGCTCGGGTCATATTTCCAATAAACCGTTCATAAAGGGCCATATAACCTGTCAAAAAACTTTTTCAACTAATAAATACATTTGTAAACGTCACAACTATCCAATGAAAAGTGACGTTACAAACGTGCAGTATTATAAGAATAATTTGAACGTTACGTTACATCTCTTTATATAACAAATGTTCAATATGAAATATTAAAGTCAAGTCAAAAGCTTATATTCGAGATAAACGTTATCTTTTACCCATTATATATACAACATTTCAAATACCATTCATTAGACAAATATCAGTACTTCTGTATTATTATATTCTAGAATATATCCGGAAAAAAACTGTAGATGAATGCGACTGTCCGACTTCTTGTAACTATCAGATATATGAAAGTTCAATATCGTACGCAACAACTTCCGCAAACGTGAAGGGAAACCAGCTTGGACTCGCTAAATCAGAGGATTTGAAAAATAAGTAAGTATAAAATGTTCTAATAATTATAAAATAAATGATCGTACTACAAAAAATTGGTTTTAGATCTACTTGAGAGCAGCGGCTGGCTGACTATAAAATAAATGGAACAGATTGAAATAAAAAAAAAAAAATAAAAAAAAAAAAAGAAGATTTTTCGAAGTCACATTTCTGTTTTCTAAAACAAAAGAAATCCTTTTTCTGATATCTACTTTGTATGGAACAATTTTAGTAAGTTTTCATCATAATCATCATCACCATCATTTTTCGTCGTCGTCGTCATCATCATCATTGCATCATATGATCATCACTTTCATCATAATCGTAATCATCATCATCATCATCATCATCATCATCATCGCCATCATCGTCATCAATCATCATCATCATCAACTTATTCTTATTATTCTTTTTCTTCCTTCTTCCTCACGTCTAAAAAGCACACTTATTCTTTTTATAGCCATCGTGTCTTCATATGGCTAACATGTGTGCCCTGTATATCTTTAAGCACCCATCATTTTATTCTTTGTGACAAATACATGTTATGTAGTTTTGGCTATAGCTGAACTTTGAATCATCTTCGGTTAAAACATATGTATCTTACCTCAGATTCTACCGAGCAAGGGAAGTGACGGCGAAAATGAACCCATTCATTCAAAAGCGTTTTAAAGATACAGTTCAGAAAATGATAGAAAATTACAACAAGCTGAGACAGTTGTTTGCCTTTGATATTCTAGAGCGTCTAGATAAACAGATCAGGAACCTTGAACAATGGCGGGCGGATATGACGTCAAAAATCGTCTTACGGCAGTTTATTTACGAGTACCAAGAATATTCCATCCAAAAGAATTTCATGAGAGCACGAGATGCCATGGAAGAAAGAACGCTGAACAACCTATGTTTCGGATTTCACGAGCACGTGTTTAACACAGAACTTCTGCTGCGGCAGATGATTGACACCATGAAAAACAATGAAACCACGGTCTCTAAAACGATCAAAACTTATTTGTCAAACACTTTACAAAGCAAGATAGAAACTGCTGAAAGAGCATTTCAAAATTACACACAAATATATACAGCGTATGAAACAGGACAACGAATTTTTAACTACAAGTTTAGAAAAATTCCGCGCGATGAAAACGAGGCCATCATTCCAAAACCACTTCTAAGAGAGTCCCTATATCATAATTACTACGCCAAGCGATATTCGAAACGCGTCGGTAAAGATATTAAAAAGGTATTAAGATATACACGCAATTTCGGAACATTTGCAGACGAGTCTTTTGCTAACACTTCCGGTATGCTTGATGTACAAGCAATGGAAAAAATAAGTGCACGTTTTATTGACGCCTGCGAGGACTACTTTCATAGTAAAAGTACGTTTTACTTTGAGACTGTTGACAGACCTTTGCGAATTATTCAAGAACGACAACAGAACTTTTCAAATGTCAGACGAGACTTTGACAAAAGCTTCAAAGAGCAAGCGGATTTGTTACGAACGCTCAAAAATTCACTTTCTATAATTAGAAGTGGGTTTCTAAGTGATTTAGCGAACGGGATTCAATTAGTGCAAGATTATTTCGACGAAAATTCGACCAAAAATGTCACAAAAAGGCAATTGGCGCAGATTTTTACGTCTAAAGGGGTTAGTAACGATATGCATATGTTTTCTCTATTTTTCACTGAAATTCGCCAGAAGGGACAATACATTTACCAGCAATGGACGCCAATCGGCTCTTCAGTCCTCAAAGTGTGGAGCTCCATTCTAAATGACAAAGATAGCGTGGAATACTACACGTACAAAAACATGACAGATTTTCTACAGAACTATACGGATGTTGCCGAAAATGTCAGTTCGTTTTCCGAAATGCTGAAATCTGAGAACGATCTCAGGAATGTACTTAGAAATACAGATAATGTTTTCATTAAAGCAATTGAAACTCTCACAGAGGAACTTCGTCAGTTCTTGCAGGGAAACGAAATGGGAGAGGCGTTTATCCAGTATGTATTTTATCCAAAATATACTTGTTTTCATCACTTTAAAGTATTCGCTAGCGTTTTCAATCTATATTTGAGCCGCGTCACGACAAAACCAACATAATGGGTTTGGGGCCAGCATGGATCTAGACCAGCCTGCGCAACCGCGCAGTCTAATCAAGATCCATGCTGTTCAGTTAAAATCCCTATAGCAAATAGAGAAACTGATAGCGCGCAGCATGCATCCTGATCAGACTGCGCGAATGCGCAGGCTGGTCTAGATCCATGCTGGTCGCAAATCCATTATCTTGGTTTTGTCGTGACGCGGCTCATTTTTCAAAATATTTTACAGTACAGTCTGTTGGAGATTGTATGTGCACACAAGTTTTTGAGTGGCGTGGATTATTAAATGTAGCAAAAGTCATATCAATCATGCACTGCTTCATGGGCATCCAGGGTCATTTACCTTGAACTTCTCGTCCAATATGTCTTTTAATTAAATAATTCTATGTCAGCTTACTAATGGAGCAACCGACCGGGGGGGGGGGGGGGGGGTCGTTGGTTCTTTCCGCTTCGCTATCCCCTCTTTCGTGTATGACGTACTTCCGGGATCCTGGGTATGTAAAATTAACTCAAAATTAACAACAGAAAAGAAGATAACGCTTTAGGAAGGTAAAAATATCAAGATTATATTCATTTACATGGTTATGATTTTATGTTGAATTTCAGAGACAATTTTATACAGCTCGATATTTACTACAAAGAACTACGTCACGAAGAAATCGAGCAACAGAGAGCGTATGATGCTATAGCCCTACTCTGTAAGTTACTGTTGACACGTGTTTTCGTAAAATTTTCTATTTCTCATAATTGAATTATGTTATGAATTAATTCTGATGATGTTGGTGATGATGATAATGATGATGTTGATGATAATGATGATGGTAATGATGATGATGGTGATGATGATGATGGTGATGATGGTGATGGTGATGATGATGATGTTGGTGATGATGATAATGATGATGTTGATGATAATGATGATGATGGTAATGATGATGTTGATGATAATGATGATGGTAATGATGATGATGGTAATGATGATGATGGTGATAATGATGATGGTAATGATGATGATGATGGTGATGATGGTGATGATGATGATGATGGTGATGATAATGCAGAATTACAGATGAGGAAGAAGAAGAGGAAGAGATGACCATAATGATGTTGATTAATTTATGAAGAAGGAAGACAGGTGGTGATGATGATGATGATGATGATAATGATGATGATAATAATGATGGTGATGATACAGACGATGACGATGACGTTGGTGGTGGTGGCATTGTTGTTGTTGATGATGTCGTTATTATTGCTTTTGTTGTGGTTGTTGTTGTTAATGACGACGACGACGGATTTAACACAATACAGGATTGGAGCACTACCTTTTGACGCTTGCAGAAATCATGATCACAAAATAGACAAATATGATTTGTTTTTCGCCGAATATCACCTTTTTCATTCCTTATCGTATATAAATCGGTGTGAAAAGATTAATTAAACGTTTTAAAGGTCATTCCATAAAGTGAAAAAGCGAGATTTAAGCATTTAATCATTCAAGCGTCTTGTCTGGTATGTATCGGAATACGGTATTAAGTGTGTTGCTCCAATCTCACTCGACGACGACGACGATGATGATGATAATGATGATGACAAAGGTTGTTTATGATGATGATGATGATCATTAATCAATTTCACATTGTTTTATTTCATTTTTCAGGTGATATAGGAGGCTCTATAGGATTGTTTATAGGTGCTAGCGTGATGACGGTGTTTGAAATACTCGACTTCATCATCAATAACGCCCTGGTCAACACCATTTACAAAAATAAACGAAAATAGAAGCAAGAAATTGTCCCGGTACAAAGATAAATAAGCGAGAATACAATTATTTTAAGGGTGAATATTATTTTTGAACAAATCACTGATACTTACAAAGTTCATTAACACAAACAAACGTACAACAAATAAACACTATGGCGTGTATGTAAACAAAATTATGAAATGTACTTACTAGTGAAAAATATAAAACATTACAAATATGGTTTTGAGAAAAGAAATTGCATGTATATAATGTCAAAATGGTTGAAAGAAGAAATAGATATTGAACAACGAAAGCAAGGAGCAAGCCCGTTTGGGCGTGGTTACAGGAAATGGGGTTAAAATAGAAAAAAGTTTAGTTGAATGCCTTTGATGCCATTATAGATTTTTTTTAAATCATACACAATAACATAGGACTATATCTTCAGCTAGAAGTATCGAAGAAAACATTCCACTTGAATGTTATTTTTACTCATCGAATAAACATGTGTGTGTCATTTTTTTCCTTTTTTTAATTTCATAAAAATATTGTGCTAAGTAAAACGCGCTTGATTGCATGTGTGTAATGTATTTATCCTATTAAAAGCACCACCTCATTATTCATTTGATATCCGGTGAACGTACATTTGTAATTGAATATATACATGTATACAAACATATAGTTTATGTATTGTATAGCAATATACTCGCATATTAAAATATTTCAATATCGAGTTGTTTCCATATACGTTGACACTAGTCTAGTTTATTTTCAAGACGGTACTATTGTGCAGAAAGCTATAACAACGTGCATATCCAGTAACGCCAGAATGTGAAAAGGCGTTAAACATGTGTAACAGTTCAGTGCAATATATGAAAAAATATCACATTTTCCGGCGTTACCGTGAAGCACTATTCACGTACATATGCGTTACCTCATAAAAACGGCTTGAATACCATTTTATCAGCTTATTTCAATTTTCTATATCTAGAAGTTTAGCAAATGTCACTTGCTTACCGAAAATCGAAATTATACGGTAAAATATGCATTTGTTGCCAAAATCTCGCTCAAAACTTTGGTCAAGCCATCATTTTCACGAATGATCTTGAAAAGTAAACAATTTCAAGGAAATACTCTTGATGAGGGATAAAGAAAAATGTCTTTGCAGCCGTATGCGGATATTTTTTTTTTAGTTCGGTTAAGTAAATATTATATTGGCCAGTTAACTTACGTTGAAAATCCTGTCAGTTATTTCGCCATTTATTGCACAATTCTGCGTTACTTATTGCACGAATCATGCGTTATTTTCACATTCCGGCGTTACTGGATATACACGGTGTAAAAGCTTAAATACCCTTACTGGAACCAACCAGTACAAAGCGACCAGTGTAAAGTTTATTGCTAAAGGTAACAACGGCTTGCCCCTGGCGTGGTTTAGACCCACGTGGTTTGTCTGTAATACATCATTTTGTTTCCAAGAAGATTGTTCGAAAACTATCGTTCGTAAAACTGTTCGTAAATCTAAAATGTAAATGAAAGTATTCAAGCTCAGACCCTCTGAAATGCTTATACATATATAATACATCCATAAAATGACAGCAATTAAAGAAAAAAAAACTAGAAATGCCACTGTCATGGAGTGAATACCCCCGCATACCACTTTGCCAGAATCAAAAGTAGCCATTTAGAGCTCAAGGACCACCTTCCCTGCAAAAACTGAATTACTAAAGAAGTGCATTGAAAATGTCAAAATCAATACACGGCGGACAGGCATTCTTAAGCATTTGAGCACACAAGCTTATTATAGTAATTATAGTATAGTTAAATCCCTGTGACTTGACCTTTGACACGGTCACCTAAAATCAATATGGGTCATCTACTAGTCATAAACAACCTCAATACCAAATATGAAGACTGTTGACAAAAGCTTTCTTAAGCAATTGAGCGGAAAAGATTTTTTACTCAAGGCCCCTGTGACCTTGACCTTTGACCGAGTGAACTCAAAATCGATAGGGGTCACCTAATGGTCGGGATCAACCTCCATGCCAAAAATGGAGACTGTGGGTCAAAGGATCTAAAGTTATTGGGTGGATAAACATTTGAAGTCAAGGCTCCTGTGACCTTGACCTTTGACCCAATGACCTCAAAATCATTAGGGTTCATCAACTAATCATGACTAATCCCATGCAAAATATGAAGACTGCGGGAATAAGGAATCTTAAGTTATTGGGCGGACAAGCTTTTTTTTTTAATTAAAGGAACCTTTGACCTTGACCTTTGATCAAGTGACCTCAAAATCAGAAGGGGTCATCTACTAATCATGACTAAACTCCATGCCAAATATGAAGACTGTGGGTCAAAGGAATTATAAGTTATTGGGCGGACTAGCTTTTTTAGTAAAGGCCTCTGTGACCTTTGACCCAGTGACCTCAAAATCAATACAAAATCAATCAAAGGAATTTTAAGTTATTGGGCGGACAAGTTTTTTTTAGTCAAAGCCCCTGTGACCTTGACCTTTGACCAAGTGACCTCAAAATCAGTAGGCGTCATCTGCTTATCATGACTAACCTCTATGCCAAATATGAAGACTGTGGGTCAAAAAATCTTAAGTTATTGGGCGGACAGGCTTTTTTTAGTCAAGGCCCATGTGACCTTGACCTTTGATCTGATGACCTCAAAATAAATAGGGATCATTTACTAATCATCACCAATCTAAATACCAAATATGAAGACTGTGGGTCAAAGGAATCTTAAGTTTTTTGGCGGACAAGGAAATACCGACGGACGGCCGGACGGCCAGACGTCTGGACGGACAAGCTGATTCCAGTATACCCTCTTACAACTTCGTTGTGCGGGGGTTTAAAAATTGTGCATGGAGTGCACGTGCAAAAAGTGAATGTATTAAGACTAGCCTATTCTTTGGCGGGTGAAAGTTTTACGTAATAATGAATTCGAAGACTAAGTGTTATAAAGCATATTGTCATTAGAAAACGACCCATTCTGTACACAGGTGAAAAAAAAATAATTTTTTTTCACTGTTATATTATTATAGTCTATAATAATATAACAGTGAAAATATTTTTTATATATATATATATATATATATATATATATATATATATATATATATATATATATATATATATTATATATATATAATATATATATATATATTGATATTTTATTGTATAAATAACAAGGTCAAACACATTTTAGGTCAAATCAATGCCACAAGCACCTGTGATTCTGTTAACAACTTACTCTGACGAAGACAACGGCTGTTGTCTTTCCGGATCATATGACGAGTTGATTGTTTTAGTTAGAAAAGGGAAGTAAGTACGCAAACAAATAAACAGAAATATATTAAGAGTAATCTACCTTATTCAGTCAATGAATGCTATTTTATTTTGAACCAATGTTTAAGAAATGGTTCCGTAGTGTAGTGGTTATCACGCTCGCTTCACACGCGAGAGGTCCTGGGTTCGAGCCCCAGCGGAACCAATGTTTTATTTTAATTTACATACTCTTAAAGGTCTGTTTTCTTTTCAATTAAACTAGTCCATGTAGTCTGTATTTTCAATTACAACTAACGAAAGACAATAGCAAATTTTAAATAATTATATTATTGTGTCGGACGTGCACGTTCCTTGTGTATATGAAGGTTCATATGGTCAAAGTCGATTTAATTAACAGACCTCTAGAAGCTTCATAATTTTAAAAAATATTATCGTGTATATAAAGATCCTGCTTTAGAATGCCCTTGCCATACATTACGTGCATTATATTATTACCACGAATAGTTCCGATCACACCATCTTAAATAATAAACCAAACCGACAATCTAATTAAACTCAGAACCTTATCAACGCTAAATGCAAGAAATGACTTAAATAGATTTGAACTTGAGTAAGCTTGCAGCAACGACGAATTAAAAAAAAATAAAACAATTAAATATATTCGTTTACTTGTCACATTAATAAGTATCATATAACTTCATACAGCCAGTGATAAAATCTTGTAGGATATCTGAATTCTTTTACGAACGAGCGTTCATGTCAAGTACACGTGCATGGCATGACCAAATGCTTCTCACAACCTCAACCCCGCCCCCATCCGTCTGTCGGAGACTATAGGTATAAAGCGCAGCTTAACCATATGAGCCGCGTCATGACAAAACCAACATAATGGGGTTTGCGACCAGCATGGATCAAGACCAGATCAGGATCCATGCTGTTCGCTATCAGTTTCTCTACTTGTAATAGGGTTTGTAAGCGAACAGCATGGATCCTGATCAGACTGCGCAGGCTGTTCTGGATCCATCCTGGTCGCAAACCTATTATGTTGGTTTAGTCGTGACGCGGCTGATATCATGTCAGCGCTTCTCACGATTATCGTCTTCAAGATGGGCTACCTCGCAATTGTGTCAACATTTACTTATACTTAAAATGTACTTTTTAAGCTTTTATATCAATTAGGTTATTTGTTATCAGAAGGTCCTAGGGGGTAATAAAGTACCGCCAACGCATCTGAACTTTGAAACTTTATTTGCAATGTACTGTAAAAGCGCAGTACAATTTACTCAAAAAGGATATTCAACTAGAAAACAACTTAACATAGGAAAATTGTTTTACTTTCACGAGAAAGTAATAAGACGTAATTTGTATTTTTTCACAGTTTAGCCCGTAAAAAATACGCTTATTACACTTTAACCAATTCCTAAGACATTTCAAATCTTATACTTAAACGTCAATTTTTTTTAATTAACCTCTAAAAATTCAGAAATATTTTTAGATACAAATCATATCAAATGTATATTGGACAGACATATAATATGAAAACATAATAACATCAAAGCAACTTCCAATGTTTACATTCCTTTTATTGATATTCTAGGTGTTTATATATTGTACATGTATCTTTCAAATAAAACAATCAGTAATTTTTCAACTGAAAGGTATAGTTTAAAACAGTGTTTTAAAAGGAAAATATATCATTCCATATTCTTTATTAATACAAACAATTCTTTTATCTTTTCCCAACTGTTTATAATATTTTATGGTTAATATTACTTGATCCCAGTCTTGAAACTTAACATAAAACTTAAAACATTAATTTTCATCTTTAACAAGGCATGACTAATTCATTCATTAGTTGGCAATGTTTATACACGAAGGCCTCATACACATGTCATGTTGCAGGTCGTAACTCACGTAGTTAAAATGGTTAATGGATTTTTTTTTTAAAACATTATTCATACATCATATTTATACTTATTTTCTAAATCTCCCTAATCTTAATCTTCATCAGAGGACATGGTAAACTCCTTAACAATATCTTCTCCTTCCGGTACATCGTCGTCGTCATCTTCATCGTCATCCTCGTCATCATTTTCATCGTCATCATCATCATCGTTTACGTCATCATCATCGTCATCATCTTCTTTCCCGTCGTCGTACTCTACTTCGCCGTCGTCGCCGTCAGACCCTGATCCAGCCAGTTGTTCTAATTCATCACTGTCAAAATCCCTATAAAAACATCGGCAAAAAATAGTAAAAAAAGTTTATAAATTTATAAACTTCAGAGCGCTTAACTTAAAAATTGCAGGACAAAAACTCTGTAATTAAGAAACTTTGTAATTTTGTGGATATAACTCAGGCCATGCTAACAAAACTGTGCAGTAGAAATCCCTATATAACTATGAACTATTCCAAATTAG